TTGCCCCTAAAGCACATAGCTGGGAAAAAAGAGAGAAGATACCTGAAGAATTATCAGGATTTGTTACAGTGGGGGATAGAAGCAGCGTTTAGGAATGTTTGTTGATAGGAATGTGGTGCCTGTTATAGTTTCCTTTTCACATTCTTTTTTTAAAAAATATATATTGACTTCAGAGAGAGGAAAGGAGAGGGAGAGAGACAGAAACATCAATGATGAGAGAGTCATCGATTGAGCCCACAACCTGGGCATGTGCCCTGACCGGGAATGGAACCCCAATCGCCTGGATCCTAGGTCGACGCTCAACAGCTAAGCCACGCCTGGCCAGGCCCCTTCCACATTCTTATTCACTTGATCTCCTTTGTACTCAACCTGAGGCATCCATCTGTCTGTTTGTGTTGGGTACGGTGAGGTGGGAAAAAGATGAAATTAGGACTGATTCAATAGGAATGAAAAGAATGTTGTTCATTTTTTAAAAAGAAGTACATTTCCAAAACAGACTTAAAGAATTAAATTGTATGCCTTCAGTGAATAGGTTTATTTATGTACATGGTCAAGAGTAATATTAAAAATATTTAACAACTGGAATCAAACTAACAATTGGCCATTCAGGACAGACTATTGACCAATCGGAAAGGACAAGGCTGAAAAGGACTTGCAGAGCAGTACTTGTGCAAACCAGCTGAATGTCAACACTGCACATGGTACCAATTAAAAAAGATACCAAAGGGTAAGTGAAACATGAGCCTCCTTCCCATTACATCCCCCAGCTTCCCAGTTCACTTCTTCAAAGGCAACCACTTTTACCAGCAAAACAGGCTTTTCATGCTCTGTAGCAAGACAAAGCCAGGCTTTGTCAAGCAAGAACTTAACTTTCTAAATTAATGTATGTATCCCTTTTGGGTGCTAATTACCTGGCTTAGTGGATTTGATTAGAGTTTTGCATATGGGAGGGCCCAGTCACCAGTAAGTGGCAAGAGGAAAAGCCAATTCTTTCCAGCCCAAAGGAATGTGTTTGGAAAAGAGAGACAGAGTAGGGGAAAGGTGTGTTAGGTAGGTTAAGAGGAGTGCTGAGAAGGGGAGCTGGAAGCACGTGGCCTTACAGGCTATTCAGAACCAACATAGGAGTCCATACTTCATGTAAATCCAGCAACATAGGATGTTTAGATACAGTCTCCCTCCCAGAGTGGCAGAAGCAAGGGCCCCACGGGATGCCATGGACAGTAGCTGTGTTGAGAATACCAGGGCCTGCTAAGGCACCTGCCATGTTAAGGGTCAAAGAACTAGGAGGTGATTGTGGCAGAGATTCAGAGGGTTCTACAGTGATGGTGAGGCTAAATCAACCAGGGCACACAACAAAGCCTTGAGCCAGCTGAGATAGGTCAGAGCAGTCTTCACTAGTAGGTATCAGCAGCAGAATGCCCAGGGTTCATTGCATCTCAGGGAGCAGCTAAAACGAGTCCCGCTGCAGAAACCCTAGCAAGATTTCAAAGGAGACCTTGCAGATCTCAGGACCCAGATTCCCCATTAGTGTCTCAAGTTCAAGTTAGCTAACACTTGTCATCCCTCTCACCCTCCAGGATGCCATTTTGATGGGAGCTGACTGAGAGAGATGGATGAAGTGATTGAGTGCTTTAACTTAAAGAAACTGTTTAAATTATTGCAACAGACTAAGTTTATCAAATTGGTCTAAACTTTAGGGTTTTTCTCCTACTGTTCAGAAGCTGGGGACATTTTACTTACACAGCTGAATGTAATTTGAGTAAATCTGTGACACTTCATAAAAATATCAAGTAGTGAGTGTTTCATATGAATTGCTGCCAAGATAGAAGATTGTATTGTTTGGCAATTATAGTTTATTTTTCTAAGTTTAACTCTTAGAGGGTAACTACATTTTCCTTACCCACATTTTTGACAGTCTTCCATATACTGACTTTATGTTTACACGTATGACAAATGACTTCTTAGAATATATGAGGAAGTAACGCGTTTGGATTAGGGCATTAGTAATTCTGCCATTACAGAGAAGGAATGAAGCAAGTAAAATTAAAAGTTTACAAAATGGATTCCCAATGAATAAAGGGAAACACTCTATCAGGTAGAAAATACACTTTACTTCCTAAAGTGGTCAATATGAGTGAAATATGATTGGAAGTATATTGTAAAAAAGGTGAAATTTGGAATCCAAGAACCATTTTATAAGTGAATTTGAAAAGCACCTGGACTACTGCTGTCAGCTGCCCCTCCCATCAAACGCTCATCCTCCTCCCAGGAAATCTGAAGCCAAAACTAAAGTTCCTGCTTCGCTTCCAATGCTCTTGTTAGGAAGGAGAGGGAAGAAAAATACAAAATGCAGTCTGATAGGGGAATTAGCTGTTCATTGGACAAATAATTCAGTGGGTATTATTCCAGGAATTTTAAGATGCACATTAAGACCCATTTTCTCCATAAGGTTTTCTCTAAGTCCACACAAATCCAATCATTCCACTTCCTATCCTCAATACAGTAACCATTAATGAAAAATGTAATACTTTGGCAAATACCTTTTTTTTTTTTCCCTTTCATTTTCTTCTACATTCAAGAGTATAAAGTAGCTTGAAGAAAAGTTCTTAACACCTGCATAACATCTAACATAGTACCAAGGACAATAAATGACAATTGAATTAACTACTCCCTTCAATGGATTCTATTTATGATTTAATTAGACCATGGTGGAGAGTTTTAACACAGCATGGTAATGAAAACTTTATTTTTTCCTGAAGCTAACTGAAGATACTTTATGATATTCCAGATTCTCCCTAGCTCTTTTCATGTGCGTGTGATCCCATCTTAGAGATTTATCAATTATGTGGCTATATCTGCAAATTAAGGGCCCATGAAGAAATAAAAACATGCCCTGGCTGGATAGCTCAGCTGGTTAGAGAGCACTCCCCTGGTCCGATCCCCAGTTAGGGGATCAACCAAGAATCAGCCAATGAACGCATAAGTCAGTCGAACAATAAATCAGTGTTTCTCTCTCCCCGTTCCTATGTTTCTCTAAAAAAAAAAGTCAATTTAAAAAAGCATTGTGAATAACGTTGATGAAATGTCTTGGTCCATTCTTCTCATTTTTCTTCTTAAGCTATCAAAACCCAAAACAATACAAAGGTGTGGGTGCAAGGCTGCATCTGTAGCTGTGACTGATCAGTCACACTGCGTGAAGGGCGAAAACGAAACCTTCTCAAGTGAGTTTTTCTTTTTCTCCCTAAGGATTAAAATTGCATAACGGATATTACTTGCTTCATAACACATCTTGACACCATCAAAACATAATGACTAGGGCCAATAATAAGGACCAAATCTTTAACATTAGGGAATATTCTTTAAGAAAAAAATTCCTGGAAAAAACCAGTATGCTTGAGAGCGGCTGTGAGAGTCGAAGTCGCCGCTGCAGGGAAGCGCGGTGCGGTGCGGGAGGAACCGACAGGTGGGCGCTCAGCTGTTCACGTCACAACGTGCTGAAGGCGCCACGCGCCGTTGCTATGGAGGTGGCTCCAGCCCCACTCCTCCGCCCGAGTTCGTTGCCCTCTAGTGTTGGGAGACCAGCCTGGCAGGCCGCAGGCAGCGCAATGCCACGGGAGAGCTGCTGGAGGGGGCAGTGGGATCCCGGTGCACCGTGAGCCTCGGGCTCGGCCCCGTTTCGGGTCGATGAGCAGCGCGCACG